AACTTAAGATAGATAAATGGAATTGAGGCCACAATCAGATCAGCCACAATCCTATCAAATGGCAGGGCAGATTAAGGAGCCGAATGGCCTACTGTTCATAATTCCTGAGGGAGGTGGTGGTGATGTCACAAGACTAGTAATCCAGAACCTCAGGCTAGTGTTCTAAGGACATCGGTTCGGGCTCCACCATGGCAGATATTCAGTAAAAAAAAAAAAAATCAGGAATTAAAACACTTCCCTTAATGGTGACTAGTAGTTAGCTTGATATCAAATGATGTAAACCACATCTGTTCACTACTGTCCTTCAGGGAAGGAAATCTACTGGCCTGACCTTGTCCAGCCTGCATGTGACTCCAGACCCACAGCAACATCACTGATTCTTAACTGCTGTCTGAAATGCCCTACCAAGCCACTCATTTGTATCAAACTGCTACAAAATCTGAAGAAAGGAAGGAACTCTAACAGATCACCTGGCATCAACCTCTGCGCTGGAAAGGGCAACAGTAAACACAACCCTATTGATCTTGCAAAGTCCTCCTTACCAACGAATGGGAACGTGTACCAAACTTAGACTGGGCATGTGGACCCATAGACTAGTTAAGCCATAACCTAATATAGTCATATCTTACAAGCAACGTCCAAAAAATCACCATAGCCATCTCTGTGTATATGTTCTGTACCATCAACATGGCAGACCCAGCAGAGGGGACATCACAGTAGTACACAGTTGAGAAGGAATTGCCCTGGGTGTTCTCAACATAGATTCTGGATGCCATGAAATCACATGGCATCAGGTTAAACACGTGCCTGGAGACGTCCCGCTCGTTACCACCTACTGCTCCCCGCCTCACTGATGAATCAGTACTCCTCCAGCACAGAGGAAGCACTGTGGGTAGCAAGGGCACGGAACAGTCTCTGGTTAGGACTTCGATATCTATCACCAAGAGTAGCTGGGTAGTACAACCACTGACCAAGCTAGCCAAGTCTGGACTGGATCTGTAGCAAGTGATAAAGGAACCAAGAAGGAAAAACTTACTTACCCTTGTCCTCTCCAACCTACCTGTTGCAGATGTGTCCATCAGTTTCAGTAGGTGTGAAGTCCCATCTTCACATTGAGGATACCCTCCACCACTACATCATACTAAATAGGATAGAATACAAACCTATCTAGCAGCTAAAACTAGACATCCATCAGCTGCTAATGGGCCAGCAAAACCTGCTGAATTGTATTCAATCACAATCTGTAACCTCATGGCTCAACATATTTCCCACTTCATTTTACAATCAAGCCATGAGATTAACCTGGGTTTAATGAAGAGCGAAGGAAGGCATGCTAAAGAGCAGCAGCAGGCATACATAAAATTGAAATGTCAACCTGGTGAAGCTACAACACAGGAATACGATCATGCCAATCAGCAGAAACAACTAACTGTAAACAGGGATAAGCAATCCGAGAAACAATAAAATAGGATGTAATTTCTGCAGACCTTTCACATCCAGTTGTGAATGGTGGTGAACAAATAAATAAATGTCAGAAGGTGGAGGTTCCAGGCCCAAGCCCACTCATCTCCTGACCTCATTGTGGCGTTGGTCCAAACATGGGCAAAAGAGCTAAATTCCAGAGATGAGATGAGAGTAACAGTCCTTTACATCAAGGCAACATGCGATTACGGTATTGAGCAATGCTATTAAAACTGGAGTAACTGGGAATCACTGGGTTTGGGGGTGATGCTCCACTAGTTAAAGTCATATCTAACACAAGAGAAGATGGTTCTGGTTGTCAGAGCCAATCATATCAGTCCTAGGACATCACTACATGGCAATGACCTTGGCTCCATCATCCTCATCAATGATTTCTTCCCATAATACGGTCAGATGTGGGGCTGTTCACATGTGAAATCACAATATTCAGCAACATTGTATTGTATTCAATCACAATTTGTAACCTCATGGCTCAACACATTCCCCACCCAATCTTACATTCAAGCCGGGAGATTAACTCGGGTTTAATGTAGGGTGTACGAAGGCAAGCTGAGAGCAGCATCAGACATACGTAAAAATGAAATGTCAACCTGGTGAAGCTACAGCACAGGAATTCTTTCATGCCAAATAGCAGAAGCAACTTACTGCAAACAGGAGTAAGCAATCCCAGAAACTAGCTATTTGGATAGAGAACTGGCTCGAAGGTAAAAAACAGAGAGTGGTGGATGGTTGCTTTTCAGCCTGGAGGCCTGTGACCAGCACTCTGCCACAAGGATCGCTGCTGGGTACACTGCTTTTCATCATTTATATAAACGATTTGGATGTGAACATTGGAGGTATGGTTAGTAAGTTTGCAGATGACATCAAAATTCAAGGTGTAATGGAGAGCAAAGAAGATTACCTCAGAGTGCACTGGGCCAAGGAGTGGCAGATGGAGTTTAATTTAGCTAAATGTGAAAGGCATTTTGAAAAGGCAAATCAGGGCAAGACTTATACACTTATTGGTAAGATTCTGGGGAGTGTTGCTGAACAAAGACACCTTGGAGTGCAGGTTCATAGTTCCTTGAAAGTGGAGTTGCAGGTAGATAGGATAGTGAAGAAGGCCTTTGGTATGCTTGCCTTTATTGGTCAGTGCATTGAGTATAGGGGTTGGGAGGTCATGTTGCGGCTGTACAGTACACTGGTTAGGCCACTATTGGAAATACTGTGTGCAATTCTGGTCTCCCTGCTCTAGGAAGGATGGTGTGAAACTTGAAAGGATTCAGAAAAGATTTGCAAGGATGTTGCCAGAGTTGGAGGCTTTGAGCTATTGGGAGAGGCTGAACACACTGGGGTTATTTTCCCTGGAGCATCAGAGGCTGAGGGGTGACCTTATCGAGGTTTATAAAATCATGAGGGGCATAGATAGAGTAAAAAGACAAGGGGGAGTCCAAAACTAGAGGGCATAGGTTTAAGGTGAGAGGGGAAAGATTTAAAGGGGGCCTAAAGAGCAACTTTTTCACAGAGGGTGGTGTATGTATGGAATGAGCTGCCAGAGGAAGTGGTGGAGGCTGGTGCAATTACAACATTTAAAAGGCATTTGGACACGCATATGCATAGGAAGGGTTTAGAGGGATATTGGCCAAATGCAACTAGATTTATTTAGGATATCTGGTTGGCATGGATGAGTTGGACTGAGGGTCTGTTTCCATGCTGTATATCTCTATGACTCTATAACATCTGTGACATCTCAGATACTGAAGCAAACAATATCAATTTACTGCATGACCTGGCATGGGCTCATGTGTCAAGTAACATTTCACCACACAAGTGCCAGGAAATAACTAACCATCTCCAACAAAAGAAAATCTAAGCATCGTCCCTTCATGTTCAATCAAATTACCACTGCTGAATCTCCCACTATGAACACTGTAATACCATTGAACAAAACTGAACTGGACCATCCATATTAATGCTGGGGGCAGAAGAGCAGGTCAGAGGCTAAGAATTCTTTAGCGATTAACTCACTTCATCTCCGCAGTGTTTGCCTACCATATACAAGGCACAAGTCAGGAATGTAAAAGAATACAGTCCAGCTCACACAAGTTGCTGGTAAAGCTCAGCACATCTGGCAGCATCTGGTAAGAGAAATCAGAATTAACATTTTGGGTCTGGTTGACCCTTTCTCTGAGTACCTCACTAAAGTTCCTCCAATATCAGCAGATGCATACGTACACCAACACCTGCAGGTTACCCTCCAAGGCACACAGATATGGTCTTGAAATTATAGCAGTTGCTTCATTATCATTGGTTCAATTTCCTGGAACTTCCTCCTTAATAACACAACGGGTGTCCCGATATCTGCGGAATGCAGCAGTTCAATAGCAATATACCACCACTTTCTCCAGGGCAATTAAGACGGTCAACAAATTCTGACATGGCCAGCAACACCCACATCCAACAAACGAATAAAAAAAGTAATATAGGAATGCGTACAAATTATTTGGACAATACTGCTGTTTGTGAGACAAACTCAGTTGCCACTTTTCCAATATTACAGCAGTAACTACATTTTAAAAAGTACTTAATTTTCTGGAAAGCAATTTGAGACGTCCAGTGATCTTGAGAAGTGCCAAATATTCTTTTTGGTAACGTGGATTTAGAAGCGCAAATCTGTGGGATTTCTGATAACTTAAGATGCACGGATTACTATGAGAAAATTAAAAAAACAAAGCAGATTCTCAATACTGCAATGTGGAAGACTGAAGCATTTAGTATACTGTACACATCTATTGTGAAACATCTGCCTCTTTTTGGATTATTTAGAAGACCAAACTGTTATATAATGCTTACGATCTCCTCTAACCTCCGCTTGTAAGAAGTAGTTTTACAAAAGGGTCATAAACGCCAATAAAGCTCCAAAATGATTTCCTTCAATGCTCGGTTGAATGATCACAGCTGGAATGGGATTACAATTGGCAGCAATCCGCGCGGGATGGTGAGTTTCTGTTTGGGGTCTGCTGACCTGTATCAAAATTGCACGTGTGGTACAACACTACTTAATGGTGTAAATAAAAAGGCAGGTCGTAGCTCAGTAACAACCAACTGATTGATTGAAGGATAACACAAAGGAGGAATGCGTTTTTACAATAGTCAATCCGAGAGGAAAAATACGGAATTTAAACGAAATGTCATTGCATATGTTCTACATTTTATACCGTTAATCTATAACGCTCTCAGGATGAAAGTGTTGTATGGCTTCACAACTCTTAATTCTTTCGAAATATTAGCACTCAATTTTAATACGGTGAATGCTTTTGCATTTACTGCTACTCCCTTAGGTCCGGGACATAATTTATCGCTGCTAGAATGGCGCGCATTCTGAGGCGGGTCACGTGCTGTGCCGCGCGGTTTCAGTTGTGGCGGGGCGGGGAAGGAGCATACAGATAGAGAGGGGGCGGGGCCGCACTATGGCGGTGCCCGATTGGCTCACGTCCGAGGGGCGGGCGGAAAAAGAGAGAAGGGTGGAGGTGGGGGGAGAGAGAAGAGGCCTAGGCCGGTTCAGCCAGACGTGGAGAGGAGTTGGGAGGGTATTGAGGAAGACGTCTTTCTTCCTCGCTCGATACCCAAATTAATTTCAAACAAACCATTGGCGGAAAGCGAATCACAGGGACTTAAAGGGTAACAAGAAAATATTCCTTTCATTTTGTTTTAACCCCACGGTTTTATTTTTTACGGTTGAGGGTGAGTTAATCGATTTGTTTTAAATAGTGGAAGGGAATGCTCGTTTTCTTATTTTTCTCTCAACCCGGATAATTGTATCAGTGGAGCGGGTCGCGATTTTTTTTTAAGAATTGGTGTACGGCTCTAATCTTTTTTACCTCACGTCTCCGTCCCGCCTTGTTCCTTGCCGCGATGGCCGCTGTTTTCCACACGGCGGCCATCCCCTCTCTCTTTCCGACCCCCCCCCCCCCCCCCTCGCGCCAGCAGCCGCCGCCGCTTCTCGGGGCGGTGTGTTGGGTGAGTGTACTGAGCTCGCGGCCCGGCACGGGGCACGTGTTTCGCAGGGGCTGAGCTCGCGCCTGCTTTCCCCCGGCGCTCGAGCGGCACCCGTGAGTGAGGGCGACCGTTGGACGTAGTGGCTGGCTGGCTGGGGAGGGAAAAGGGGATGGGAGTCTCTCCATCCAAGATAACAACATCCCCCACCGACCCGTTTCGAAATCCCCATCGTCCATAATTTCTGTCGAATTTTCCCAGCGCTTGTTCTCCGGAGTTTCGTTTTCCCTTTCACCTGAGGTGCGCACGGCTCTGAATTAATCGATTCGTTTCTTCCTTTCGGATTTAGCGATGCCCGGAGGGTGAGCCGCCAAAAATACTTTATTTTTTTTAAAAAAATAATTTCTCGCCCCTTTTCCGCCCGCCACCCACCCCAAAATCCTCATGGTTGGCGATGAATGAAAGTTGACAATAGTTGATTTATTACGTAGGGGCTTTTCTTTCGAGGAGTGAGAAGCCGGGCCTGTGTTCGCTGCGGTAATTGCATCCGTCTGCCATTCCCTTTCAAACGTTTTTTTTTCGTATTTACGAGAACGAATCAAATCGTATCGTCATTGAATCGAATGCACCTTGTTCCCCAGGTCGCAGACGGATCATTGGAAACTGGGCGGGGGTTTGCTGTTGGAAGGGGAAGTCCATTGTCCGCTAAGAGATGGAGCTGCCTTGGTCTCTCTTTTAACGTATATTTATCGCGTTCAAGATTTCTCTACGCCGCCTCTGGATTTTTTTTTTCCCCTTTGATCAGTTCACTGGCTGAGGTAGTAGTTTGTGTTGTTGGAAGGGTCTGTGACACTGCCCAGTATGGAGATAACTGCGCAAGCTACTGCCTTGCTAGTGCTGGTGATAACTCGGCGGAAACAAGCTCCAATGTGAGTTTATTTTTAAAAAAAAAAGGAAGTGTTTCGAATGAAAATCGGGATTGCAACGATATTGCAAGTATTTTTTGGTTGAACTGAACCTGATCTAGTTGCTTTTAGCATAAAAATATAAAGCTTATGCATGCTTTAGCAAATGTGAAATTAGTGTTTTGCGGTTCAGTTTGAGCAGAAGTCTTGCACCATAACGTGCAGAAATCCACTGACCTGTGTTTAAACTAGTGCATGAAAGTTTCTTTTGAGTTTACTTTTTCTAACCTGCTAAATTTAAGCAGTGCCTTTTACCTTTGCAATAAATGAAGAACACTGCAAAAAACTTGATACAATGGCTTTTTGGAAGAAAGGATCAAGTTCAATCGTCAGAAATTTTCATAGGCTGTTTCCTCTGCCCACTACTCAATTAAATATTTAAATCAGTGATTTGTTTCTACTTAGTCCCAATATAGTGACAAAATCAACTGCAATTGAGAGCAAGGAAGGTTTGACATTTGATGTCATTCATCACATACTGTCTTTATTCATTAGTCTGAATAGTGTTCTGTGTATCAAAATCAGATTGTCTGGCTGGTGCAGATGAGTTGGACCAAAGGGTCTGTTTCTGTGCTTTATGACTGTACGACACTCATTTTGCTGTTTTTTGTTTCACAAAAAAAATCTTGTATCTATCAACCATTACCATTTTCTCTTTCTAATTAAAGTGGTTTAAATACTGCAGTGTTTTTATGGAGAATGATTGCTGAAAATAGTTGCACTGAAACAGCCTACCATTAACATGAGGCTCCAGGTATTTATTCACTTATGATACAGTCCTGCTTTGGCAGGTGTATACAGATTTGAACCGCACAAGTATACTGACAATTCTTAAGCCATTCCAGTTGGTCGTGACAAAACACCCAGTTGTCTTTCTCCAATCTGAATATATTTTTATTATAGTGAGGACCCATCTCAAGATTGAGTTAGAGCAAGCTCACTTACCTAACCTGAAAATGATGTTGATGCTGTGCCACTTGCATCTGAGGCAAAAAGTGGCTGATTAGCCTAAAATCTATTTTTGGAAAAGTATTGGAATTGACTATTAAGGAAGTGATAGCGGAACACTTGGAAAATCATAATCTAATCAAGCAGCATAGCTTACAAAAGGGAAATTGTTTAATTAGAGTGATTGGGACTTGCTCAAAAAAAAAGTCGATGGAGAGAACTAATAGATGTGTTGTAATTGGACTTCCAGAAGGCATTTGACAAGGTACCTCTCAAAAGGTTGAGTCATAAGATAAGAGTCCATGGTGTTGGAGGTAGTGTATTGGCATGGATGAAGAACTTTCATACGCAGGAAACAGCGAATGGGAGTAATAGGTTATTTTTAAGTGGCAAGCTGTGGTTCCACAAGAATCAGTGATGGGGCCATAGCTATATACAATATTTGATTTATTTATTGTCATGTGTATTTTGTTACAAAGTACAGTGAAGTGTTGTGTAGTATTGGCACTTTCCAGCACCACCTTAAAACAAAAATAAACCAAGACATCGAATGTAAAAGCAGGAAAAATGAGGAAATGAAGAGTAAATGTTCAACTTTACATTCATGGCCAGGCATGAGTCCCCTTCACCATGCTGCTGCCGCTGGAATGAAAGTTGCCACTTCTTGGTGCCATCTTACTTCCCACTGACACCCTTGCTGCTGACTCCTTGATGGATCTTGCCAATGCAGATGCTGCTGGTGGCCTGAACTCAACTCTGCCACTGCCACAAGTCTGCTTCAGGCCCACCTCACCAGTGCAATTGATGTTGGTGGGTCTTGTTTTAGGCCCAAACTCACCTCCGTTAATCAGCACTAGACATGGATGCAGATGCTGTCAGTGACCCAAACTCTCCTCTGCTGCAGCAGCCATGAGTTGGTGCTAGGACCGAATTATCGATACAGAAGCCACTGGGAGCCCAAACTTGCTGCTGCCACAAGTCCGCACTACTGGGCCTACTCAAGTCTGCGCTAGGCTCACTCAATGCTGTTGCTGCAACTGGCAATGAGGTAAGTACAGTAAGAAGGGGTGGGGTGGGAAGTGGATGAGCACCAGGCTCAGAAGTGCTGCTACTCCACAGTCTTACTGGAAGTTTGTATTAATATACTAATGAGTCAAAGGAAGGAGGTGAATGTAATGTAGGCAGATTTGCAGACAACACAATAGTTGGAAAGGCAGGTTGAGAGGGGTAGGGTTATAAAGTGTAGTGATTTTTTTTTAAATGGGCAAAATCTTGTCTAATGGAGTATAATATGAGGAAAATATGTTCATTTTTGAAAGGGAAAACAAAAGGATGGGCTATTACTGTAAGTGGAGAAAAACTGCACACAAAGGAATTTTGAGGTACTTATGAAAGAAACTAGCGCGTGCAGCAGGAAATCAGGAAGGCAAATGGCACGTTGGCCCTTATTTCAAGAGGGTTGGAGTATGAGTAGAGAAGTATTGCTGAGACTACAGACAGTACTGTGAGCAGTCTTGGTCCCTTTTATTTAAAGAAAAATATTGTTTCATTGGAGGCCGTTCAGAGAAGGTTCACTAGGATGATCCCCAGAATGGAGGGGTTGTCTTGTCAAAAAAGACTTAACATGTTGGACCTCTCTTCACTGAAGTGGTCTCATTTAGACACTTGGGATTCTTAAGCGGCTTGAAAGAGTAAATGCTGAGATGATGCTCCCTCTCAAAGACTGAATTCCTTCCAGAGAAGGAATTCCTTGTATCTTAAATTGGCACTCCTTTATTCTGAGACTATGTCCACTGGTCCTAGACTCTCTCGAAAGCTTTGGGGGAAGAGTTCTGTATATTTAAGGCTGAGAGATTCTTGATCAGAAAGAGAATCAAGGGCTTACGGGGAAGAGGCAGCAAAGTGTAGTGAGGAGCATCAGATCAGCCATGATCCTGAGGTGTGGAGGAGCAGGCTTGAGGGGCTGAATGATCTACTCCTGTTCCTCCCTTGCCCTGTACCCACCCCTAGTCTTGCCTGTCATGACATGGGCTGCTTTCATCATAGCCAACTCATTGTCACCTAATAATTGTGCCTGTTATCAGTTTTTCTCCCTGGCTTGCCATTATCCATCCTTCTGCCTAACTACTGTTCCCACTCTCAAGACCTCTAGAGCTCCAAGTTATGTAAGTCTACCAGCCTCCTCTAAATGCTCATGAGCTCCCTCCTGTATTCTGTTCTCTTTCTGGTTAACAAATTTAACCTACAGTCTCAGTGTAGTAATTGTCTAATTTTGGATTTTAATCCAACTTGCTGATGGATCCCATGGGCTTAAACCTGTCTAACCTAACTGCCATGCAGAACCATTCTAAAAGTTATTAAAATCTGTCACTGTCATCAAATGTACAATTGTCTTCAAGTGTTAGTTTCTCAAATGATTCAATTAAATTAGCTAGTTATGACCTTCTAATAAATCAAAGCTGACTGTCCTTCATTTAAACTGTGCATTTCTAACTGGATTTGTAATGAACTTTGAGTATTTTCAGGAATACCAAAATTATCACCAAGATGGGGCTGACCGGTTTGTAACTATTTGGCCTTTCCTTCTTTTAAACAACTGTATAATATCAGTCCTCTGAAACTACCTGTAGCCAGAGAACTGGGAAATGATAGTTAATCTCCCTTTTATATATATATTTTTTTGCTTCTCATTAACAGTCTGGAATATATTTTCCCTGGTTTATCAATGTTCAAAGTTGATAAATATTTCTTAATTTCCCATTCGTTATGTTTATCCCAAGCTAACAATTTTATAGAAGGGGAATTGTTTTTGACAACTTAAGATTTTTATTCAGGATTTGCCTAGAAGAGTAAGCAAAAGTATGAAGCAATACGGCCAAAGGCAGGCATCTGGAGTTAGGGCACTGATGAGCCATGACCAGAATCATAGAGCATAGAAGCAGATTCTTTGGTCCAACTAGTCCGCGCTGACTATGTTCCCCAAACCAAACATTGGCAAATGGGACTAGTTTAGTCCATATTCCTCAACTTTTTCTATTTGCTTATCCACATGCCGTTTTAAATATTGTAATTGCAGCTGCATCCACCACTTTCTCGTGGTTCATGCCACAAACAAACAATTTATTTGAAAAATAATTGCCCCATTTGTCCTTTTTTTTTCCAAAGGCTTTCTCCCCCCTCACCTTAAATATGCCCCATGGATTTGAACTCCCCACCCCAGGGAAAAGACCCTGCGTATTCACCCTATCCATGCCCCTCATGATTTTGTAAGCCTCTGTAAGGTTGCCCCTCAACCTGCTATGCTTCAGTGGAAAAAAAATCTCAGTCTGTCCTTATTGATGAAATTCTACATTGCTGGCAACATAGAATCCCTACAGTGTGGAAACAGGCCCTTTGGCCCAACAAGTCCACACTGAACCTCAGAGCATCCCACCTAATCTACACATCCCTGAACACTACGGGCAATTTAGCATGTCCAATCCACCTAATGTGCACATCTTTGGACTGTGGGAGGAAACCGGAGCACCCAGCGGAAACCCATGCGTACACGGGGAGAATGTGCAAACTCCACACACAGTCGCCCGAGGCTGGAATCGAACTCGGGTCCCTGGCGCTGAGAGGCAGCAGTGCTAATCACTGTGCCACCAGGTGAATCTTTTCTGAACCCTCTCCAATTTAATAATATCCTTCCTATAGCAGGACAACGAGAACTGTGCGCAGTACTCAAAGAAGCCTCACCAATGTCCTGTACAACCTCCACATGATGTCCCAACTCCTATATTGAAAGGTCTGATTAATGAAGGCAAGCATGCTAAATGCTTTCTTAACCACCCTGTCTACCTGTGATGCAAATTATGTACCTGAACCCCCTAGGTGTCTGTTCTACAAAACTACCCAGGGCTCTACAATTAATTGTATAAGGCCTGCCCTTGCATGTTTTACCAAAATATCATAACTTGCATTTATGCCAATTAAATGCATCTGCCATTCAGCCTTATGACCCAATTGATCAAGATCTTGTAATCTTGGATGACTGTCCACTATAATTTTGGTGTCATCTGCAAACTTACTAACCATGCTTGCTATGTTCTCATCCAAATCCTTTGTATAAATGACAAACAAAAGAGGACCCAGTACCAATCTCTAAAACCAGCTCGGTGAGCTGGTGATAAAGCAAATGGAGTATACGGAGGAGCATGAAATTTTCTACTTTAGTAGAATAGGAAAGCAGATCGTGGGCACAGGCCCAGGATAAGAGGTGATAATTTAGGACTGAAGAGGAGAAATCTATTCACTTGCAGCATTGTGAATCATTGGAATTCTGTTCTCGGAATATTTGAATAAACTTTAAGGCAGTGGGAGTCCGATTTCTGGTCTCTTAGAATCAAGATATGGGAAGCATGGGATTGGGGTGGAAGTGGTGTTAAAGTTTAAGATCAGCCATGATCAGAGTTGTGGAGCAGACTGAAATGAACCGTTAATGTTTTCCTACTACTGTACCAATTCTTGTTTTTGTCTTCAATGTTCACAATTCTTCTTAATTTCAATGTAGAAACAAAAGATAGGAGATTCCAGAAATCTGATCAAAAATATTCTCTCCCATTTCTGTAGTTGGCTAGGCCAATGTTATTTCCCCATACCATCTGCCCTTGAAAGTGGTGCTGATGATGATGAAAGGTCATTGGTCTGAAACATAACTTCTTCTCCCCCACCCCCCCACCCCCAAACAGATG